ATCCCATGTCAAGACTGGAGAGAATTATCACAGGTGAAATGACAATAATTTGGTAGTTTTTAATTCCTGACTTTGATAATCATATTTTATTCAAGATTTTCCCTTTACAATCTTTAGCAATTAAGGTGTTGGGATTAATAGATACAGATATGTGAGCTAACATTTTTCCTTTTTTAGGTTACTGGAATTTAATAACAAAAATAATAAAAACAAAACTAGTGATATTTTATTCATGAAATTTATTAAAAATCATTTGCCAAAATAAATATTTATTTTATCCATCAAAGGATTATAGGAAAAGAAAACAACTATATTATTTAAACTAGTGTTTCTGAGAACTTTCAATATAACTTTTCTAACAGTGTGCATTTAATAGTTAACACACATTTTGGAATAGAAAAATTCTCAAAAATGCACCAATTAATATATGTCCATTAGAGGTATACTTAAAAATACATTTTATAAGTATGTTTTCTTCAGATTTGGCTTTACAGTGTTCCAAATTAACAATTTCAATTTGGTCAACTATGATCCTTATATTTAAGAATAAACTGAAACTGAATTGAACATGAATTTTTATGCGTATAATGATGGTTAACTTCAGTCTAAAGACTCTGAAACAATAAAAGACCTAATATTGATATCTTCAATGCTTGATTTTTATAGAGTCCTAGAACGAGCTTTGCTACATGCACAGCAGGTTGGACCATATCATTGTCTGATCGTGCTGGCAACCCATAATGAGGAAACTGTTCGTCATGCTACTTCACGTCTACTTGAACTTGGAGTCAATCCTAGAGCTGGACATGTCGTGTTTGCTCAGATTTATGGCATGGCTGAACAAATTTCTATGCCATTAGGTAAGATGAGATATTAAAAACATTTAAAATTTATTGAAAGTACATAATATCATTTCTTTCATCTTCTAACATATTATAAACAAAGCATATTTAGTGACATTTTCAGGAGACACTGATGATGGTCCAGTAAGACAGAAATGCATCTGTCTAATAAATGACAATGATTGTGAAAAAAGTCTTTTGGTGTTAATATACATTAAACCATTGTGCATGATTGGCTTTAACATTTTCATTGTTGAAAATTCAAAGACAAGTACCATCTGCCTGATAACCAATTTAATGCAGTGAAAGTATGTATTTTACAAACAAACTCTGTATATAACTTATGGTATGCATTTCTATGTGATACAGATTTCAAATCCATGAAAGACTGTACTTATAGGAAATCTTAGTTCTTTATCAATATTTTATTTATATTGAGGGGATGTGTTACAGCACATGCAGGCTACCTTGTTTACAAATCAGTGCCCATGGGCACACTGAACCAAGTGCTTCCTTACCTGGCTCGGAGAGCTGCTGAAAACAGGTCGGTGCTGCATGGGGCCCGCAGGGAAAGGGAACTACTGCAACAAGAATTGAGCTGGAGGCTCAGATCTGGTTTTCTGAGATGAAGTGTGCTGAGCAGGAAACAAAATGAATGTTTTTATGGTTGCAAACTTGCTGTGCTTTCATTGTTCTATACTTGCATTCAGTGGCTAAGGCGTTACGAAGTGAAAGCAGCTGTCTCCCTGTGGATGACTGATTTAACAATCAAGCATCTGCCTTGCATTTGAGAAATGGCTATCTTATCTTATTTCCTTCTGTTTCTTCAGTTCCCACAGGTGAATGCTGTGATAACAGTGTAAAGTAAGCCATGAACACTTCCTCTTATGTTTCTCCTGATACATCATTCATAATCATATTATCCAATTCTGTTTGATGTTACATAACCTCAGAAGTTGATACAATGTCATAACATAACCAAGAAGAGAAGTAATTACACAGAGTGTTTGAAGTGTCAATGAATATGTTTTATTTCCATGGAATGAAATCAGACTCATTACACATGAATCACACACAAAATTTATTTGGATACAGTGAAAGATGATTAAATGTAAAAATATAAAGGACCAATGAATAAATTGTACTCACAATAAGTTACCTTTGTTATTAAGCATCATATAGTGAAGGTAAAGTTGGGGGCTGTACATAAAGCTTCACACTTCCTTGACACTGGC